CCTTGCAGTAGGTGCACTTATCTGACTCAGCTCTTTCTCAGGAGGCTATTAATTTTTGGCTCTGTATGTACAGGTCTATTACAGGCCCATCCATAACCCACCCAGAGAGCCCGTAACACTGCCAAGCAGCACGCTTGGAAACAGTGGGGAATTGCACCAGGTTCTCCAGGTTTGCTTCACACCAACACAACACGGCCCGGAGAGGGGCAGAACACCCCTCCAGCAGCCCCAGGCTGCAAAGCAAGAAGAGATGAAGCAGCACATTTTTCCTTTACTGCTGCCTGGCTCTGGCTGCACGCATCCTGTTCCCACGTGCATCTTCTGTGCTAGAAGCCGGGGCAGTGAGCACACGTCCTTCCCCAGCTCCCCCTCCTCTTCCTCTCCCCGTCCCCTCGCTGTTTTCACATTCACAGGCGCATGCCTCCTGCTCCCGAGAAGTCACAGCTGCAAACGCAGCAGTACCTGCCTGGAATTGAAAAGCCGGACATTACCACGTCGTCCAGCTCTGCTGACTTATCGTTTTGCTCTCACCTATGTCTCATTATCCTGCAGTTTCTTGCCAGGCCTTGGCTTTCTCACTACCTTCCTCCCTGCCCTTCCCATTAAACATGGGCCCGATGCTCTCTTTGTGCTGTGCTCTCATTCCCTGTGCCCCCCACTGATTACACACCGGGAGCTCCTGCTGCTGCTTGACCCACACTGTACCTCATCTTCCCCCTGCAAAACAGAGCACCGACGTTGGAGGAGGCTCAGCACTGCAGAACAGTGACTGCAGCTCACTCCCATCTCTCACAGAAAGGGAAAAAGTTGCAAAACTTGGTCAGAGAAGCTGCAAAGGAAAGCGATCAAAACAGCAAGCCAACTTATTGGCTTCTGCCTTGCTTAGAGTTGATTGCTTAGAGTTGACTGCTTAGAGTTGACTGCATGCCCCTGCATCACAGGTATGCAGCTCATGCCAAGTGCTTGCCAAGTCCCAGCCCACTTCCTTCTCCATTTTCTGGAAATATTGTCACTTTTTAACTTGCACTTTGACTGGCACAGAGAAATCCTGAGAGCATTAATGACATCAAATTCACCTTCCCTCACACTGCCAGGGGCCCTGTGGAGACCATCCCATGTGCTCATGCAAGGATGGCACAGCAGTACACACTAATGGTCTCAGGAATATTTTGGGTTGACTTTCATCCTGTTTCTGAGGCACAGTGACTACATACATTCAGAGCAGAGTGCAGAAAGGGAAAAAGATTAAAAAAAAAGAAAAAGCACAAGAATTACTGCAAATCAGCCGAGTTGGAGGGAACATCCCGGACTGAGCAAAGTGTACCATCAAAGGAGGGCCGGCGGCACGGCGGGTGGCACAGAGCTGTCAGCCCCTCTCACTCACAGTGCTGTGCTGTGGGAAGGGCTCCTGCACAAAAGGAAGGACTTTAAATAAAGATGAAGCGGACGTAGCCACATTGTTGCTTGGCCAATGAATTTAATCTTCACCTCAGAGGTTATCAGACACAAGACCTTTTCCGTGGCCTTTCCCAACCCCTCCACTTGTCACCAGCAGATCTGTTCACTCCTGAGTATCTGGACTATTAACACTTAAAGCTTCCCACTTCCCTCCTCCCAGCGGTTATGCCCATACATTGCTCAAGCCTCGTGATGACCTCTCTGTTTCCTTCCCCATGCACAGCCCTTGGCACAGCCATGTTGGAGCAGCTCCCATCCCACACCCCACCATTTCCCTGTGCCAATATTTCCAGATCTAGGTCCCATCTCCTCCGTGTTTTCTCTTAGCTCTCTGCTCAGACATCTCAAAGGCATCTTTGAACCACGTCCTTGAATTTGGCCTCAGAAGCACTCAGCAAATCCCACCACCTTTATCTTTTCACCTCCTAATCCTCTGCTCCTCTTCTCCATCAGTATTGACAACTGCACTCTTTTTCTCCTTCTTCTGAATATTGAATATTCTAAAGGATTAGCCCTAACAGTTAATTTTTAGCTCCACGTAAGATTCAGCATTGCATGCATAAGGCAGGCTCAGCTGAATGCAAACAGTTCAGCTGTGAGACACCATTTGGGCTGCTCCCTCCTTGGGGCAGGGGAAGGGATGACAATCCTGTGTTCTAGCCCTTTTCCCCATTATTCTGCTTTAAGTGCCCAAAAAAAAAAAAAAAAAAAAAGCAATACAGATGGATGCTACAACATGTATTTACTATCTCAGGAAGCCCCCAAACATGAGGCAAATGCACAGCTGGTGCTTTGTCAGAGGAGGAGGAACACTAGTTTACAGACAACTCGTATCAGAAAACAGCACAAATTAATATTAGGGGCTTCCCTGCCAAGCAGCTTTAACCACCGCAGGACGCATTTCCTCCCTTCCTAATGCACGGCCCCTCTCTCACCTGCTGGGCACAACCATCCCATAACCAAGAGCATAAAACTGCCTTATGGTACAGAGCCTACGGAGCCACCAGCACGAAGCTGCCCTGGATGCCAGGGAGCTGCGTCACTGACCTGAGGGCAGAAGGATCCCAACCTGATATCCACCCTATGAGACCAACATTTTTGAGCCCTTTGGCCCCGGCTTGCTTGCTCCAGCCTGCTCTCTTTGAATGAGAGCCATTCTGATGGGGAGGAGGAAGCAGGAGGAGACGCAGCAGTCTCCAGAAAGTGATTTTATCCAAGGCAGCAACTGAACAGAGCTGCAGCTTCTGCTGCCTCCTCAGCTCAGCGCAGAATGCAGCAGAAAGGGATCCAGGTGACATCATACGATTTAAGAGTTAATTAAACTGAGTGATATGCTCCAACAGCTCCAGGTGTTTATTTCAAGGTTCTACAGCGTTTAGAACGATAGAATAGGGGGGAAAAAAATCTAATAAAAAATCTGGTGAGTATTACATTAAGAAGTAATCACATTGTTAAATCACTCTTGGTTCTGGAGCACTTCTAATAACTTCAAACCTTGGCAATTCTCACCAGCTCAGGCTCATTTCCATCGTTCTGTTGCCCTCCTTCACAGAGCTGGCAGGTTTTTCCTTTTAGGAAACCCAGGAGAGAACCGTGCAACCAGGCAGCGCATGCAGCAGCCTGGAGGCTTTGTGCTTCAGCCCGGGCAACAGCAACACCTTTGCTTGAAGGCACATTCGATCCCTTCTGAGCACTAATGGACCAGCTGGAATGGTCCCATCCCTTCCATGGTGCTGCTTGGCTGGAATGAGAGCAGCCCAGAGGCACAGCACAGCACTGTTGTCCCACATCCCTGCCAACCACCTGACACCAGCCCAATTGCATGCACTCTTCAGGCATTCACCACCTTTTCTTCTATAGGTTCAAAAATCTACAACTTTGAGTCTTCAGATCTCAAGGTTTGCGAGCCCTTAGCTGAGCATCATCTCTATTCAGCATGGCTTAGAAAGCCATGTAAAAACACGTGGTGTTGAGCAAAAGCATAGAGAGAGAAGCCATAGGAGCTCGGGGCGGCGAAAAGGAAAGGAAGGAGGTTTCAGTATCACCAGCACTCACCAAGACCCCGAGGTATCTCAAAGGGCATCGCATTGAGAAGAGCTCCTCTGCGTGTGAAGGAAAAGTCCAATTTTCCATAATTTGTCAGGTTAATAAATGACTCTCCTCTTCTCCCTACAGCCTCTCCTATTACCAATTCTCATGCAGCATGCTGGAGCCTCCTTTCACTATTAATACCACTCACTGTGAAATGTAATTACCAGCTCTATCACAAAGCGTCAGGCACATTTATCCACTGTACACACTCGCTGACTCCAGATCACATCAGTCACTGGTAGGCTTGTTCTGACAACGCTGTCCAAAGGAAAAAGTGTCTGCACAGACTCCTGGCTAACTTAGGCCACTTAAGCATGGTGCAAAACCATTCTGTGCAAACAAGAAGCAAAGAGACATGTTTAATTTAATACGGACTCATAATTTAAATCTGACGGGAAGAAGGGTGATAGGCAGAGTGGAGTGTTGGCTGGAGAAGATGGATGAGTAAATTCTCTAGAAAGTGATTCAAAACGAAACGAACGGCTCCCTCCTCCAGCCTGACACAAGCAAAATCCCTCCTCTGCTTTATGCTTTAACTCTCCTCATTACGTTTTGATTAAAGTCAACACAAAGAGCTCACTTGCTGTCCCTTGCTTGTGGCTTTCTCCTTCTCCCTCCTTCCCCTCTTTTACATCTCTTTTGCAGCCATTTCCCAGCAGGCACGTAGGAGACCCACAAATTGCACTGTTCAGTCCTTTGCCATTTGGGGAAGCTGCAACTCTCACAAAGGGCAGTGGCTCAGCCAGATGTAGCAGCTCCAGCTTTATTTAAAAATCCTATTAGTTGGAAGAGAAAATAATACACATTCTTACTGATATCCAACTGACTCATATATTAAGTGTTTCCAATTCCACGGGGCTGGAGGCAGCCTTTCCTGTCCTGTGTGAATATCAAATACGTGCTTTGAAGGCGGAACCTTCATTACACTCAATATTCTTGCAGCTGTTTAAAAGCAGGCAGCCTGAGCTTACAACGGGGAGCAGATAAAAGGTGAATTTTATTTACAGTTGAGTGTTAGCACGGGGCTGTGAACACGGAAATCAAACCGGAGAAATGCAACTCAAAGTACTTCTGACAAAGTAAAGTAAGAATAACCAGAACACTTGAGAATGAAAGGAGCGGAATTGGAACTGGATTAGTTACGTTAACTACTCATCTCTATTGGTGTGCCTCCAACATCTGGGCTCTGGTGTCTCTACCCACAGACCCTCTCCCACATCCCATCATCATCTTGCAATATACGAAGTCAAAAACGAAGCTCTGACCGCCTTCTGGCTGCGCCATGCCCAGCACAGCTCCCTCTCCTTCACTCCCATAGAGGTGTGAGAGCCTGTGCCCAGTCATGGCCCCACGGCAGCTGACCACCAGTGCCTCCCAGTTCCCACCAGTTTCCTAGAGCCAGGGGAAAGCTGCCTTCAGCAAAACGAAGCGCTCAGAGCTTTTCTCTCGAGTGAAAAAAAAAAAAAAAAAAAAAAAAAAAAAAGAACAGAAAAGGAAAGCTTGCAAAAGTTCAAGTTCTAAAGAACTACAGGATTAAACGGCGCCAGATGAGAAAGGGAACCAAGTGGGCGTCTTCCAATTAAAATAAAGCACAACACTGTGACCTGCTATGGCGTGTCTGTCCAAGGTGTACATCGAAGCAACCACCGGAATAAATCTCTGTGCACCTTAACAGCAAGTAATGGTGCTCCCAGAGCCTGGGAGGATCAGATGTTCCCATTTCCACATCGCTGTGCTCTTCAATACCCAACAAATGCAACCAGTGGAGGAGAGGAGAAGGAAGCAGCTGAACTTCAAACCTTTCCCACACTCCCTTAATTTTTGGCGTCGCTTCCAATAATGATTAATTTGTGGTTCATCTTCTCCTAATCTCACGCAATAATGACATTTCCTGCTTTGATTCGAGCCTTTTTAAGCACGCTGGCAGATGGCAGGCTATTACGCAGCAAGGCCATACTGCAATGGAAGCAGGAAGGGTTATTAACAGAAATAGTAACTCTCCAAAATCAAAAAGGTGAGGGCCCACGGAAGAGCCACGGTTTTATTTTTACACCTCAAACCAGTTATTTGAATGCATTATGAATGCTGTAAATATCCCCGATGGATATAATGAAAATGCATTATTAATTTTCACTCATTATTAATGAACTTATAAATTCACAAGTGATGGAGCCATGACGGTGTGAGGGAAAGGTCATGAATAATAACTGGAAATGAATAATATATACACAGCTCACAGGATACTATGCTGTAGTGCCTCATGTTTATTTAACTCAGCGGTGCATTGACTTTTTATTCTTCGCCAGATAATAGCAGAAAGAATTAGAGGGACTGTAATCTCTATTAATTCAACATAACAGATCACAACAGGCAGCTGATCCTTCTGCAGGGAGGCTGCTGTGCCCTAACACCAAAAAAGCAGGGATTCCCCTCTGCTCTCCTCTGTCACTCTTCCTCCGTGACACTCATTCACTGCCAGCACTCAGAGCATATCAGATTTAGAAGGAACCACAGCAGAGCCAGAGATAAGCTCATGGCAGGTGAGGGCAACCAGCCCAACATCAGCAGAGACGTGCCCAAATCTCTGGTGATATCCCCATGTGACAAACAGAGGGAGGCGAGCCGTGTGCTGTGTGCACATACAGACAAATTTGTTTTGGTTCCATCTGTTAGGACTAATTTGTTAATTATTAAATAGATAATTTATCATCGCTGCCTGCTTGATCGGTGTTTATTATCCACTGTCTGAGGCAAATGGAGTGCTGTGTGAATAAAGACGGGATTAATTAGTAACGAAAAGTTCAGGCAACTGCAAACTTGTGGTGGTTGCTTCCAGGCCCTGAACAACAACGGGTTGGGAGGAAACATAAGGAATTCCAGTCACCAAATGCCACAAATGAATTGCTGCTGAATGATGGAGAGCAAACTCTAAGTCCTAAGACATTTGCCATAGCACTTTCCAACCCATTTCTTCTTAGGTTGCACCCAGTTACTCCAGTAATCACAAGTTGTGAGCAAGCAGCTATCCAGGGTTTGCTTTGGTAAGCATCCCCATCGCATCCCCAGCCCCACAGAGAAGAGCTGTCCCCTTGCTACATCTGTTCAGACCATCCACAAAGCAGAGCCAACCAAACCATCTGCTCCCCTATTCCTGGCCTTGGGCTGGAATCACGGAATCTTCAAGGTTGGAAGAGACCTGGAAGATCATCCAGTCCAACCATCCACCTACCACCCCACTGAGCCATGCCCAAAGGATTCCATGTCCATGGCTCTGGAACTCCTCCAGGAATGGTGGCTATACCACTTCGCTGGGCAGCTGGTCCCAATGCACTACTTCACTACTCTTTTAAAGAAGGAATTCTTCCTAATATCCAACCTGAACCTCCCCCAGCACAACCTGAGGCCATTCCCTCCCATCTGTAGCCCACCCCTGCTGTTTTCTACCCACCATTGATCTGTCAGGGCTCACATTCCTCTTCAGGTCCACACAGACTGTAAGACTGGTATTTTTTGTCAGGCTTTTTCGGCAACTGCACCCCTCGTTGCTCTTCATTTAAAAATTACACGTCATTCCTCAGACAGAGCCTCAAGTCCGGCAGAATGACGGACACCCACATGTCAGCCTCCCCCACCACGTTTTGCTGCTGCACTGCAGAACGGGGGAATTGGCTTTTATGGTTAATTTTAAACCTCCAGAACAGACGGTGGCTGCTTCTTTCAGATTTTAGTTACTTAATTTAGGTGAATGGGGGTGATGGGAGAAGGAGGGGAAGGGGCAGGCAGAGGTGATGGCAGGAAGCAAGAAGCTTTCTGAAGCTTCATGACACGACAAGCTTTGCAGCCCTTGCTTCATGTGGTAAAACAAGAAGGAAAAGGCATACCTGCAACCTTATGTACTGAGAAACACTCACAAAGGTTTCAACAATGAAATTCCATGAGGAATTTCAAGAGAGAACAGAACCTCCTCCTATAGACCACAGGCCACACAAACAGACAGCAACAACTCTGACATGCAGGAAACCAGAGAAAGGGATGCTGAGGGCACACAAAGTGATGAATTCCAAAGAGTCAAGTGCCCAACCCACAGCCACTCAGTCTTCTCAACAAAGGCATCGAGGGAAATCAAAGCAAGGAGATGATACGTTATTTGATGAAAGGCATTTTTCAGGTTAATGGACAGACCACAAATAGCAATGAGTGTCTACAGTCATGCACCTAGCAAAAAGATGCATCACAGTTTGCTCCCGGTGGGAAGAAGATGCTCCCCAGAACATTAATTCAGCCAGATCTTGGGGGAACTTCAGGTGACATTTTGGTTGCATCTCCGCTCCCTTCTGCTGCTCATCATCAATTTAACAAGTATTTTGTACAAACGAAAAGTTTTCTTGCTCAATAAATTAATTATGGCAGAGTAAACAAAAACTTTTTAAAAATGCATGTTTTGATGTGATTGCTTTTTTAATTGGCTGGTTTAACATTTGAAATTTGATTTAATTTTCAACTTGATTATCCTCACCACGGGGTCAGGCTGCCGGAGACACAAACGAGCTCTGAAGCCTCGGGCGCAACCCAGCGGGGCTCCCGGCGGAGCCTGCTCACTGCTGTGTGCTGCCAGCCCCCTCCTGCTGCCATTAGTACTATTTAAGAAAGGAAGATCAAATTCAAGCCAATGGAAGGCATACTTTTCCCAGCTCTCCATTAGTAATTCTGAGATGAGACGGTGCTCTGGAGCCCGGGGTATTCATCCCAGCTCTGACAACTTCTTCCCTTAATTGCTTCAGTGCAATCTCCACGCCACCCCAACTGTCTTTGCCCATAAAACGAGTGATGGTAACAAGAAGGGATGGTGTTGAATGGATTAATTATGTCTGGGAATAGCTTGAAATAGGAATGCTACAAGCTGGGACCAAGGAAACCATTGCATTTTCAGTCCTGTGGCAGTACAAGCACGGTGTGACCAGTCTGATGAGTCCACAACAACTTCAGCTGCCTCTGACATAAGATGTGTTTACAGCCCCACCAGTACTGAAGCTCAGGAAAGCCATTTTCCTTTCAGCAGAATTATCCAGTTGCTGGTAAAAGCTGCCATACATTTCTCTTTCCTACTTCAAAGGAGCCTTTTGCAGCCTTCCACTACTTGCTGTTACCAGTATTTGCACTATCAGGTGTTCTGTTCATCAGTACCTCTGATTTCTCATTGGTTCACAAATTGCAGAGCTCAAAAGAATTGTAAGAATCAGCCAATCTAAACTGATGAGAAGCACAAGCTAGTGAATTAAGCAAAGCAGATTCTGCATCAAGCTCATAATTGCAAGCTGACTTAGAACATTTCTTGTACAAGAATATCCCATCTTCATTTAGACACTTCAAAGTGATAGTGAATCCCCCACGTACTGAGATAAATAGTTCTGATGGTTAATTACCCCTGTTGTAACAAAAGCATTTCCTTATTTCTAATCTTTCCTGGTTTCTACTTCCAGTATTTGATCTTGTTACGCTTTTGTCCAACAGATTAGAGAGCTCTTCACTAGCCAGAATCATCTTTCTGTGTAAGAACTTAGTCTGTGATCAAGCTTCTTATTAAGCTACCCTTTTTTTAAGTTAATTATAAGGAAATTCTCCAGGCTCTGAGACGTTTAGATCTTGAGGTGAGGAAGGAGGAAGAGAGACTGTCCAGTGAGAAGTTCCAACTTCTCCATTGTACAGTGAAAAAATCAGGTTGAAATAATGATGTGATGAAAAAGAGATGCCTTATGCTATCCATCACATCTCTACCTCACCACTCCTTCCTCCTCTTCTGATACAGGTAACAAAGGAGTTGATGTTGGAAGGTGGTTTCAGACTTTGTACATCTTCTCAAACATCAGTGGCACTTCCTCAGCGGAGGCAGAAAAGGATAAGGGAAAGACAGACATGCCAGGTGATGCTGCTGGAAGACCCCAGAAGAGGCACTTTTAGACTATCTGTTTTCTTCTCTATAGAAAGATGTTGTCTCCTCCTAGTGCTGCTTTGCTCCTGTCTGCACGGCACATTACCTGCAAGCATCTCTTCTCCTAAAGCTGATGGGAGTTCCTGGATCGCTTTCCTCCTCTCCTCCCACTTCTCTCGCACATGTGCTTCTCTTTACTCTCCTTCTTGCCAAGATGCCTTGAGGAGTGCTTTCTCCTCTCCCTCTTTTAGCTGCATGTTCTCTGTGGGAGGACTTTCAGGGCCGCAACTCTCCTCCGCACCCATGAGATCCCTCTGTTCCTCAAATCCTGCTCTGAACAAGAGCTGATTTTCTGCTCTGTCAGTGAAACTTCAGTTCTCAGCACTGCTTGGCTACATGAACGCAGCTCCTAACTGGAAATCTCCAAACCCAGGCCTGGCACATCATCTTCTCCTTTGCAACACTCCTGCTCAACTGCTCAGCCCTGCCATACTTCTGCCTGCTTCAGATGGGAACAGATCTGGCCTCCGAGCATTGCTGCAAGCACAAACACGCAGCAAGCAACACAACTCCAGGGCAAAGCTACACTGCTACCTGTGGGATCTCCAAGCAGTATCATCTTTCAGTGAGTCAGTGCTGGGAAAAGAAGATGAGAACAGCTGTGCTGTTGCCTTGAGACCGATCCTCCCATGTCAGCACTGCTTCACAGTCACAGAAACGTTTCTTCTCACGAAGTACCTCATCCTAACTTATGCTAACCACTAGTTGACTTCATTCATCATTAATTGCCTCCTCTCTGTGAACTGGAGTGTTGCTGCAGATGCATTTTAATTTGCTTTAAATTGAGCGATAACAGCAGTTTTCTTTACGCTTCTATCGGTGCTGAACAGTGGCATGGCAGTTGTGTGTGAGCATGATGCCACAGTAGGTATCTGGGGGGATCTGGGAGGAATCCACCAAGTAGCAAATGCTAAACTACAGCTACAAACCCAGAGGTGCTGGGTATTTTAATGGCATCACACACTGCTGCGTGGGTTTTAGGTAGACAGCAGAAAATAGTTGGGAGACAGCAATCAGGCTGAGGGAGTTGGGAAGAGCTCCGACTGTCTCTCCTGATCCAATTTCTGGGAATGAGGCAAAGCTGGGACAAAAGGCTGGGGTCACGTTGACCGCAAACACCAGATAATGAATGAAAACAAACCAAACCAACAAATTTCTACCATTTGTCTCTTTACCGTCTTTTAGTGCATTTCTTCCCCGGACTGATGCCGAGGCAGGAGGGCAGCCAGCTCAGCCTGTGGATAGGGCAGGCTCACGTCCTCTCCTTTTCAGACAGCAAAAATTAGCACGGTGGTCTCTAGATCACTGAGCAGGACGCAGGGCCATGGTGGTTTCTGTTTCATTCACACACCTGCTCTTAAACAGCAGCCAGAGAGAGGTCAGAACCCCTTTCTGGAGAGAAAAAATATGGCCCAGTGTCAGTGATTTTCTGTCACTTCTGGCAGGGACCCAGACCTGGCCTGAGGACCTTTGGGTGAAAGGTTTGGTCTCTATTGACTTGTTTTCTGGCAGTGCTAACACTGGCGAAAGATCACTTTTCACATCAGTTTGGGTTATGATTTATTGGAACAGAGGTCGAAATTCAATAAAACAAGCATCTCCCTCATCACCTCTCAGCAACCATGCCTTGGTGCTCTGATACTTCCACAAAGTCAAAAAGAAAACAACCCAAAGCCCTACCCCAGTGAAATTAAAGGCTGCCAGACACCTATGTCTGAATGATTGCTTTCTGTAACCAGCTGTCACAGCCAAAGCCACACAGACACACAGTGTGGAGTCCACCCAGTGGCACTGCTGGGCTGAGGCTGGAGCCTGAGCAACACGGGATGCTGCTGGGGGAACCCATGTTTCCCACAGAGTCCTTCAGGCAACGGCAGCACGAGAAGAAGAAAGGAATCCGCTCCTAAGAGTTGGTGCACGCCAGTTGTGCGAGTACTCCAGACATAAATTTCCTTCTATTAATGAGTCACAGTGGTCACATAACCTGCCACTCCGTCTCTTCGTCCCTTCTAACAGCTCCTTTCGGAGATGTAATCTCAGTAAAATGCTGGAGGAGCCTCTCAAATGGCTGTGTTTTACTGCTGTCAGTCCATCGCTGTTTTTTTTTATCTCAAAGGAGGAATAATCTCTCCCTTTAGAGATCAAAGTTCTGTGCTCCTGGATGGGAGTTGCTGCTTGCCCTGAGCACAGACCACCAGCAGTCCTGCACCAGAGCAGCAGTGTTAACCCAGCCAACAGCTTTCTGGTACAGCACTTATTTCTTATTTGTTTAGTGCCCAACATACAGCAGGTATTTGTGGGGAAAGGACATAGGCAGAGTCCCTTCCTCAAAAACCTTTTAGGATAATGACTGGAGAAGAAAGAAAAGGAATCCTCGTGGTTGGGAAAGACCACCAAGCACAACCCCAACCCATCCCTACCACAACACCAAAGCAATCCCTCAGTGCCACATCTCTGCGGTTCTGGAACACCTCCAGGGACAGCAACCCCACCACTATTCTTTACAGCTTTCTATGTGCGTGTAATTTATGGGAAAAAAAATGGTTATTTGAGTATGAAATGGAACATAGAAGGGCAAAAAATATGAAACAGCTGCACAAATTGGTAGAGAGCTCTCCCCTCCTCATCCTGAGGCATCTGGCTACACCAGCAGCACTGCATTCCTCCGGACCCAAGGTTCTCCATACAAAGCCAGAACACAGCTCCCTGCCTTCCCTCTGCCTTGGGGTGGCTGATACCAATGCTCAGACAGGTTACACTGTCACCAGGAAAATAAATATTTATGACAGTCTCATAGGTAACTCCATCATCTCTACCAGTTGCCTGAATGCTTCACCACTTATACAGATAGTTCAGGTAAATACGATCTCTGTATGTGCTAAAAAAGAAAAGTGTCTGAATTTAGAAAGCCAGATTGGGCTTTACCAGCAGCCAGAAGCACGTAGCTGGAAGCTGCAAGATTAAATAACTCCAAAAATTGGGCTTCTATGGAGGCCATAGACAATATTTCTATTTTGGGTTTATTGTCAGCATTACAGGCCGTATGCAATCTGCCTCATTCCTGCCTGTGGTCCAGGGCTGCCTGCTAAAAACTGTTACTGCAAATCCTCTGCACACTGAAGGCTTTGGCAGCAGCTGGCTGGGAGCAGGCTGAGCAGAAGGGGCTGGGACCAAAGGAATCATCATCAGGGTCCAGATCGGTAGATTAACAAAGATGAAGGAAAAGACATGGAGAAACCTGAGGGTTTCTGATTTTTCTAAAGATGATCAGAATTACTTTTCTTTGTCAAGAAGATCTCTCTTGCAATGCTACCATGGTCTCTCCATCTACTGCTTCCCAGCAAGATTCCCTTGGGAGCTCCATCTTCCGTGCTTTAGGGAAAGGGGTTGGAAAACGAGACCCAGTGAACACCAGGAGATCCTGCTCAGTGCAGGAGGAGGCTCTCCTCCAGATACATGCCAAGCAACGGGTCCCCATGATGCACAAATACAGCACACAAAAAGACTGCTGTACACGAACAGGAGCAGAAGTGCATCCAGAGAAGGCATTATTTCTGCTGGGATTAGGCAACATACATGGAAAGCCATCTGCTGGGAAGCAGCAACATGCCTGGCCTCACCACGATGCTCCCTCCCATTTGCCACTGTTCTCATCTCAGTGCTGGCCTGCTTTCAGACAACTGCCTCGCGTTGGCCAGTGCTCCACTGCAGCAACAAAACCCCATTGTCTCTCATTCTCTCTAACATCCTTTATGTATTCCCCACTTGATGGCTCCCAAACACTTGTTCAGGTGGCACAGTGCCTACCAGTCAGGCCATTTTCTCCGTAGCGTACAGCTGTCCTCTGCGCGGTCTCTCCGTGCAGCATGTCCCAGCTCCAGGAACAGAGACTGTGACCATGCTTCCACTCCCACCTCTCTGCCTCACAGCTCGTGAATGGAAAGAAGGAACGGAGCAAGAATAATGAAGCAGAAAAGAAAGGCATTACTCGCAGAAATTGTATTGTTTCTGCTCCACACGCTGACGATGACAGCCCACAGCCGTTCCCCAGGGGCTTATTCCAAATCCAAACACACAGACCTGTACATTACTCGGATGAAGGCTTCCCTGCTTGGGTTCATTTCAACTCTAACAAGGCCGCTGCTTAAGAGAGAGACCGAGCTAACAGAAAGTAAGGTTGGAGGCTTAATGGATTCAGGAAGATTGCTGGTCCCCACTGACACACACACACAGGTGTGTGCTGAGCTGCCCACCCCTCCCAGGACATCAGGCTCCTCTCTGCCAGCTCCTCTCCAGTAGAGTGCAGGGAGACACAACCGCGTGTGCATCTCAACCCTAGGAAGGCAGAGTGCACCCAGCACCTATGGTAGCACTCAATGCTGGGTACCAGAAGGCCAGAAAAAAAACAGATTTTTTTTTCTTGGAGCTTCTTGCTCCAAGAGAGCAGCGCGACCTTTCCTGTGTGCCTGGAGATCTTTAGCACTACAGAGTTTGGATAAAGAAGATTTGTACAAAGGGAAAAACAACAACGGGAAGAATCCCAGTGGCCTACCCAGACAGAAGCACACACATAAGGCAGAGGAGCAGCAGATGAATTTCATGCCTTGATGCAAAGACTGAATTTAAATAACATACAGCACCGCATTTCCCTCCTGCCTCCACGACATTGCACATAGAAAGAAATCCATATGGCAAACCTGGCAGCGAGAACACGCCTCTGTGATTTCCACTGAGCTAATGGCAGCCAATAACGTTACCTGTATCAGGGAGGACAGCCTTCCCACCCATCCCAATATTGGTCTAATAAAAGGTCAGCCTATTATATGGCATCTATTTGCAAAATGAAGAGCCTCTCCGCGGCAGCTAAATGCTTGCTTTGGATTCGGAATTACTGTAATTAAAGTTACATTGTGCTCGGATTGGTGCCAATCACTGCGGAGCTCCAGGCACGACCTGCCGTTCCCAGCGCCATGTGCCTGGGCGTCCCACTCCATTAGCTCCAGGGAATTAGCTGTCATTAACGAAGAGATGCACACTCCTTCGTGTTGTCAAACCGCAATCAAGCAGGTCACAGGTGAAGAATAAATACTTTCAGAACAAGCCCAATTACACCATTTACATTTCATTACAGAACCTGTTTAATCCACTGATGGGCTCCCAAGTTCTTTTGCCTAATAAACAGCATTTCAGAGGAATTAATAGGCCCTGCAAAACATGCTAATTACACTCTTTTGCATTGCATTTGCAATATTGATTTTAAAGTTGCTCCTTCTCCCTCCACCTTCCCTTTCCCAGCCCCAGAGCCTAAACTTTCAGCAAAGTACACTCAAACCAACCTAATTACTGGTGGCTTTAGAAACTAATGCATCTCTCTTGTCAAAGCTCAGCTCCAGCGAAGGTCAACATATAGGGAAGGATTTTCACGTCCATAACTTGTGCGAGTTCCTCCAGACGACCACTGGAAACAGCTGCTGAATAGCAATTGCAGGCAGAGAGCAGGCATCAGCAGAGACTTTGCCATAGCAACGAGCCTGGCTGGACCCGCTCCCCAAAGACGCCTCCTCCTCGCAAAGACCACAGCAGCGGAACGGGGACAATGACAACACAACCACTGCAATCTCACTTTGATTTGAAAGCGAAGCTATTTGATGCTCTCCTGAGCGCTGAACTGTTTAAAAACAAAAGGAAAGTTTATTTTCAAATCGAGGGCCTCAGTTAAACCATTCAGAAGAGAGGAACAAATCAGATATGCTCATGAAGTGCACTGTCTGGCTGGTTACTCATCCTGGTTGTTTTGCCCAGCTCCTGCCATCGTTTTTTCTTTTCCTCCTCTTCACGCTCACTCTGCGCCCCCCTCCGCTCTCTCAGACCTGCTTTCTCTAGTCAGTGAGTTGTCTTTCCAATCTCTGACTTGCCACTGACTTGGTGGCTGTCCCTTACCATCAGGGTTGTTTTTAACACAGAGCTTATCGACAGCTAAAACCACTCAGAGGAGATGGAGAGGGGGACAGCAGCGCTCTTGCACAGCACCTGCCGAGTGTTTAAAGAGAGCCAGTAATAAAGGACAAAACCCTGCTGCTTTTAATTCCTTTGCTAACAACAAGGCAGGAAAGAAAAGCCAAAGGAGGTCACCTCTGGGCTGCCAGAGGATAGCATGGCACAGAGAGGCCATGAGCTGGAGGAGAAGAGGGGCTGCACCTACACACCATGGCTGGGGGACCCCTCAATGGTAGGGAGCTCACAGGAAGCACTTATCCCAGAAGGCTTTCCTGCAAAACTCACGTGGCTTAAGAAATGCCATTGAAAGGGCTGAAATCTGCTCCTTTGTCTGCTCCTGTCTGTGAGAAGTGCTCCTCAGTAGGTAATGCAGGACTCTGAGGGCATGGAAACAGATGCCACAAAAAGAGACATGTGGAGCAGTCAAAGGAGATGACACATACTGCTCAAACGTGTTGTCTCTTCAGGAATTTGGGCTGATAAAAGAGAATACATCCCCAGCTGCACCAAAGAACAGCACAAGTACAACTCACAGCTACGATCTCCTCTCCTGCGCCTGGTTTATGTGAATGCTCATCCAGGAGCATGTCACTGCACCAGTCAGAACCGTTTGTGTGAGCCCAATCACCCATGCAACCCTCTTTCTGAAGTCACAACCAGGTGTTCTGTAGTGCCCCAGGTAACGCAGCGCACTCAGCAGCTTCCCACCATCTGGGCACAGACTGTGCTGGAACAGCCAGTGAGCCGCCTTGCACGCCCTGCACTTGACACGAGGAGCATCCCACCTGCATGGCCACGCTCCTCTTGTCACCTGCAGGGAACACCTGGACGTGGGGACACTGGGAGCAGCACATGTGGTTGGCATCCGGGATGTGCAGGAAGGCTGGCTGTCACCTGGTACCATTTTAGAACATAGCTATCGTGTGCATGGGATTTGTTTTGCCTCTCAGAAATTCTTGAGGGATTTACTAAATTAAAATGCTACAAGTAATACAGAGGGATCTCTTTTCCCTATAAGAATCAAACTGGATTAGGTACTTATTGCCTGGAAAACACTTTGAAGAATCACGCTATTAATCACACAGCCCCTGTTAACACCACTTACTGATTCCAGGACAGGTTGGAAAGGAGATGCAAATACCAGCTGCGTTTTGTCAAATCTTCGGGGAGAGACTTTCAATAGCTACTATGTAATTACATTAATATTTGTCAAGAATTACACTCACTCTTACGAAAACACCACAAGACACGAAGACCTGCAAGTAGTTCCATGCTTCCTCTGCAGGGCAGGCCCTTAGGCAACGCAGCCCCTCCTGGCAGCTGCTGTGTCAGTGGCTGTCACAGACAAGGGTGCTTTTAAATGCAAAACCTTCTGACCGACTTTTACTTTAGTTTTCCACTAACCCGGCCTAACCTTGCACAGTTTGCAACCACTGAAAAGATCACAGCACAAGGTGAGTTCACAACAGAATAGCTAAGAGTATCTCTAACTTAAAGTGATAGGAAAGCAAATTGAGAAAGAAGATACAGTCAGCTGTAGGAAGCTTAGCTCTTCTCCTTCTTAATCACCCATAGAAAGAACAGCTCGCTGCTGTCGGCTGCTCGCACAGGTACGAGTAAAGACAGGCAGCAGATTTTCACCCAGCAGTTACAATGATTAATGTTTCTAAACAGACATACAGTTTGAAAGCACTGTGGCAGAAAAAAAGAAAAGTTGTTGCTTCATAGTCTCAACCCACTATTTTCCCTGGGCATTGAGCCAGCGACTGAAGAAAGAGGAAAGCTGCTATTTAAGGAGTCACCAAGCCCTGTGATTCAGGATAACGAACACGGCTCGTTACAGTCCCCTCTGCTAAAAGCAGGGGCAAATGGAAGAGGCACAGCTGAGTGCGCTGTCCTCAGCCAAACTCAGAGGAAGGTCGGTGAAATGCTGCTGGCAGACGCCTCTCCATCCCAGCTTCCCCAGAGGAATAAGAACAAACTTCACTCCTTCATTGCCAGCAAGGAACAGGGGCTGCTGGGCACGAGGTCCTGCCTGTTGCTGTCAGGCAAGATGCAAGAGATACCACAGTACCTTTCATATGTTAGAGAAGTTACCAGATTGTACAAAGCTACCTGTCTCATAGATGCGAAATAACACATATTTTGCATTAGAACCACGCTGGGAAAAGGAAAGGTGCAAGCTTCTTCATTACTTCAATACACCTGAGAACAGCTCCTGCCAGAGCCAGGACGCTCCATGTGAGCTGCCTCCTGCTCAGGGGACATGGAAGTATGTTGGAAGAAGTTCCTGCAACACCACATTGCCATCGCCTGCTTGCTCTCAGATCCGACTGCCCCACATCGTGCCCCTGTATAATTTAAGTGCTTTAATTGGGGAAATTAGAGGAGAATAAAAACGGTGGGATTTTGTTTCCAGCTTAGTCTCAGGGATGCCGATGCTCTGCATTGCTGCTGTAAAACCTCTCAGAAACAATCCCAGCGTGACCTCCTGCATCCAGGGCTTCCTGCTATCATAAACTGCAAAACAGCATGCTGTGTCCTGCCCATAAGGCAGACAGACAACAGACTGTGGTCTAATTAGAAAAGACATGCTTCCCACATTCTCCATAAAGCTGCTTCAGCCTACAACTAAGGACAAATAAATAACTGTCAGGGCTAATAAGCCCAGAATCACAGAGGAAGGAAAGAAACAAACTGGATCTATGTCGATCTCATCCAATTGATCAGGAAAAGCATGTGGCAACAACCATGAAGACACAAGCAGCTCCATCTGCAGCAGTTCCTCTTCAGCAGATCGGATGTGCTCTGCTTCGTGGGGCTGTGCCAGGCCCTTGGCTCCCTTTTGCCAAAATAACCAGAGGCACAAAGTGCCACAGGTGATTAATTAGAGCACTCAAGCAGCACAGAACAGCCTCGTCCATTGTGATGTGCCACAGCACCCTAAGACAACATGGGATCAGCCACATCTCCTACAGTCTCCCTGCAGGGTGGGATACACCAACCCCAAACACTTTGGCCCTCCCTGAGAGCTGGCTGCATACAGCTGTACATGGTACAATTTTACTGAGCAAGGTCCTCAGCCTGTTGCTGGGGTTAAGAAAAATGGAAGAGTTTATATCACTGAGGAGAGAATGATTACACACACAAGACTGATCCCAGTGATCTCTTCCAACAGAAGACATGATGACCAAGTTGGAGTCACCCAAATTGCCTCAGTTAAGTCCTCCCATTCCTTCCTCAACTACCAAGTGACCATTCAGGCATCTGTTCTGAATTAATTTTCATTAATTTTTGCCTTTCTGCCCACAGACCTGAGGCACAGCCTGGCTCCTGGACAACTTCGTTCCCTTGGGATCCTGTCCCTGCCCTGTGACAAGGGAGCAGCCATGGGGATGAAGCAATGCCACCTTCCACATGCCCGCAGAATGAGATGTCCTGTGTCACTCACAGGATGCAACACACACCTGAGAAGCACTAACATTTCCACCACTGGTTTTTACTCATTGAGAAGAACAAGGGCTGAACTCGAGACCAGGAGCCTGCACAAAGCTTTTCCTGCAAGAACGGTGACAGCAGGAGCCACCATATGGGATGAGACACGAAGCAACTTTGCCTTGGCCTTGCCGACTGAACAGAACTAATCAGGCTGAACTCAGTGCCCATCTGCTGATGGCTGCGTAACCAAGGAGCATCACCCATGAGCTGGCAGGACCAGGGCAGGTATTGACACCCACAGCTCACCTCCTCCTCTCAGCTCCGTCCCAGAGCTGCTCCAGTGGGTGCCACAGCACGGAAGCAGGCAGCCCTGGGGAGGTGATGGGACATGACCCAAAGAGACATGAACCCTGTGAACGTGCACTTCAGTTTGCATCAGAAGCAGGCTCAGTGCCATGCCACAGACTCAAACTTCCCCCCCACCCTCCAGATTTTGTTCCCTCCAATTTGTGGCACCAGCTGGAAGGCTGGAAGTTGAGAAGGTGAAGATGCACCACAGAGAAGCTGCAAGATGCACCAAGGCAGTAGATTAGAGCCAAAAGCAAGGACCTGGGGAACTGCAGCCTGGTCTTGCTGACATCACTGCATCCTCATTCTGTGCTGAGCCAGCTGCCCAGGGTGCGTGCCCATGCCAGATACACTGATTGCTTTCTGCAAACAGCTTATCTGCAGACAGCTGGACTAAACCCAACCTCATTTCACGTGAGTCACTGACCAAGAGGTCAGGAAGCAACGCCTTCTCAGCTCCATCTGCACGGGCTGGATTCACACCACTGACTACAGCACCAGGGAAACTCCCCAGTTTCCCCCCTCATCTCCTTAGCTAAAGGACATCTCCTCCCCACCGACATCCCCAGCGACTGTGTCAGAACCAGCAGAGCTATTTCTCCCTGCAATGCCTACAGGAAAATTCCCTTTCAAAGGCTCAATTATACAGGAACATCTCAGCAACTGCCCGTGTGAGTCAGCTATTCCCCTGAATCCTAACAACCTTTTCTGCAGGAGCTGGTTGGGAAAGGAAAAAACAAAAAGACAGAAAGATCGTGTCCTAAATAAAAACACGTATAGCCACTTGCCAAAAAAAAAAAAAGAGGAAAAAACACATTTAGCTTTTTAAGGCGATAACAAGCAGAACAATATTCAGCTTCAAGGCTACGCAGGCAGGTCAGAAAATCCTCCAGAGAAGAAGAACTAGGCCACAGAACTCCAGTACAGCTTCTAGAATCTGCCCCTGTTATCCAAAATCGGTGGTGAGGTCACTCCGATGGCTGAGCTGGCTGCTCTCCTTCGTACAGGTGTTCACATGGCCATGGGAAGCCTGTGCTCCTCCTGGCTGGCTATACAACGCACAGCCAAGCCCCAGCATAGCAAGAGATGGAGCTGGCAGACAATTTCCTGGGGAAAGCTCTTTGAGGTTACCTGTCCCCATCTTCCCCAAGGGAAATCATTTAAACGTTATGAGTAACAGCAATGCTGAAAAGAATGCGCAAAAACCTGGAAAACGCATCATTTTATCAACAGAAGCAAGGTCATCCAAACCCAGAGATGACTACATTCAATATTAATATCTCCCTTTCTCCAAGCAGGGTTCGAACCTCTTGGTAAGCATCCATTCCCCAGAGAAACGTTTTCCAGTAACTTTGATGCGAACTAATTACGTTTGCACAGCTAATAAGTGCCATCTGCCTGAGACTCCGCAGCCTGGGAGAGGAAGGGCAGCTCAGCTCAGTGCTGGCTGTGCCAGCACCCTCACTGCTTCCTCCTGCACAACACAAACCCAAACCCCAGCAGGAATCTGACAGTGGGAACACAGCACAGCCAGAATGACAGAGCCTCAGATGGATGCCTTCCTCCTCACGTCTTATTTGACCCTTGGTTTATTCTCATTTCCAGGAACTCCATTTCTTTCTGCTGGTCCAGCCCTGAGCTGTTGTGTACAATGCTTTAATGAGGTCCACTCCACTGATATAAAGGGCACAACAACAGCACCGCTCAATTTATTTCTACGTGGAGCATTCAAGACCTAATTCTCAAAAAAGAGTTTGAAAAGATCTATTAAGAGTGCATCCCCAACTGGTAAACAATGTCCATTTCTGGATGGGCCTCAGCAATCCAATCAGTGAAGGCATTTAAGGACAGCATGTACAATATTGGAAAATGAAATTGCTTTGAAAAAAAACTCCTCCTTGCTTATTTGCCAGATAATGATAGAAGAGCTGATGCCAAGCACAGCCAATCTGTCCAAGGGTGTTCAAAGAGATGCTCCCTATGCCAAGGGTCCACTCCTTTCTCTTCTTATCACCCACATCCCACCTGCCAGTCCCCACCCTCACCTGGGCAGAACACCTCCAGGCAATGCTTCTCCATCAATTCAGAGGCAACAAAATCCCAAAGCTGTGTGATGAGGTACACTGGTGCCTCGTTTTTCTTTCTCAATACAAAAACATCCTGAATTTTGCACTTTCCTTTCACCGGAGGCAAGGACACGTTGTTGAGTTGTCTTCCCCTTGTAAATATTTGCTGCTGAAATCCATTTGTAGTATAAAACTTCTCTAAGGAAGAGAGAAGCTGACTCTCTGTAGTATTTAGTACTATTTCTTGTGTCATCCGCTGCGTTTCCCTACTATTTTTTACAAATTTAGGAACTATCAGATGCTATTCTGCATGCAGAAATACAGAGATTAAAAAAAGAGAAGAAGAAAGGCAAAGCTCCACAAACAGAGCTCAGGATTAAGCCTTATTTTGGGAGCCTCAGGCTCAGCTCCTTGCTGTGCCACATCTCCCACGTGGCCCTGCTGCTGCCCTACCACCACAGTGACAGCACCCCAACAAGGGTACAACCCCCTTATGGACCCCCAGAGCCCTGCAGGGGCTCCTCCATTGCAAAGCCCAAAGCAATGCAACCATGCTGGCCCCAGTCACACCTCCCTGAGTGCCATCCCACAGCACCCCGCTCTGCCCTGTCTCTTCCCCCCGTTAACTTCCATATAATAACTGAAAAATGTGACAAGCCCAACTTTAATCATGTTCTAACCGGGGTTGGTATCATTAATCTCACAGCCACTGATGGGTAATTTAATTAGGGTGCATTTGTAATGAATTACAATCATCATTTAGCGCTATTGTTCCTAACACGAGCAGAGGGGAGGCAGAAGACCGGCATCGTTGATCTTTTTAATTACACTCACACAATACAAAAGCCACCCCAGCCCTGGCTGCTCAGTGCTGGTGGCTCAGGCACACACGAGCAGCAGTCCCAGCCCAACCTGCTCCCCAGCAGCTCCCAGAGTGGGGCCTTTGCTAGAGCAGAGAGAGAAATCAAAGCCAGGACAGAAACTGCACACCCCAGCTCTGCTTCCCACCAGCTGTGAACACTTGATGCAGATGTTAAGGACTGACCTGACACTTCACATGGCCAAGTGCTCCAGAAGTATTCCAACACCCTATGCAATTAAAGGATAACATAGCAATAAGGCACGCTCACGTGGTGATGGCTGCACAGCCACACTCACATAATATGCTCATGCAAGGCTGCAGACACTGACAGATCTAATGCAGGAGAACAACCTGCTACAAAGCTTTAAATCCATCTCTACAGCCCATTACCAGAAATTTCCAGCCCCAAATGTTTGTCTGGACAGATCCTTCGCTGCTCTCTGCAGGATGCATGGCAGCGAGTGCTTGCTGCTATTTCAGACCTGGCTCCAGTCTGCAAAACAGGAGCAATCTGTCGGCGGGGCTGAGTGCCAGCTGACCTCCTCAGTACCTCTGTGCAGAACACCAGGAGTTTTGGTACCTCCATACAGAACACCAGGACTCTTCACCACAGACATGTAACCTGGCATCCCCATATGGCATCCCTGTGCTGGTGGCAGCCCAACCTGCTTTCAAACTGAAGTGCTCTGAAGGGCCGCCCTGGGTCTCAACACAGAGTACAACAGATCGGACGTGTAGGACCGAAGGAAAGCAAGCCCTACTTCTCTCCTCCAGTAAGGTGGCCAGGTTTCCCCTCTGCTGCTTAGGACATGGATCCATGCAGAACACCTGGGTTCCAGAGCCCTAAGGAAGGGCTGTCCTAGGGGGACGTGCACCAGCTGTTCCTGCTGCACATCCTGTGCCAGCAAAACGAGCAAAGAAAATTACCAAATACAAACAAAAATCTTCTGTGGCAGTTTAGTATGGGAAGGAAAAGGATCGCCATTGCTCAGAGGAAAGGATAAATGCACCTCTGTGATTTGTTAGCGCTCTTTCCAAGAGTTAACAAAACAGCAGGGTAAAGAAAATCCATCAGAAGTGCTTTTGTAGACCTTCCAAACATTTTTGATAGAAACCCACATTAAAAAAAACAAAAAACAAAACACAAAAAAGCCAGAAAATAAACTGCTTTAGGAAAGGAAAAGCACACGAAGTACTGCCATCCTTACACTGGAGTGAGTGACAGAGGCCAGAGCAGGAAGAGCAGCCCATGTATGGACAGCAGGTTGGCAAATGCTGCTCCAGACAGAGCTATGAGCTCCTACACAGTGCCTCCCAGCACAGCACCTGCACCAGGGCTGCTGAGGATAAAAGGGGGTAGAATGGAAATGAACGATACCTTGCTGATTAGATATTCCATTAGCTAGTAAAATTTATCCTAAGTAATGTGAAATAATGGGTGTTTTGATTATCTAAATATGTTAATGGAGTTTTAAATAGTTTGAATCACTCTGAAAGGAGTTGGAAATGGCAGTGGATGCCCTTTGGGAAAGGCAGAATGATGGGTGAGGTGAGTGGGGAAGAAGGGAGCACCGGACAGCACTGAGCATCAAACAGGGAGCAGACAGAAAAATACAATAAGGCAACTTCTGTAATTAGTGGCTTTTATCTATCTGAAGTACTGTATGCATTATTTAAGATAGGCCCAGAAGAGTATTGAAAAGCACTAGGGAGGAAAGAAAGAAGTTTCCATTAAAAACCTAGAGATTCTGAGAAACCTGTGGAAGGAGACAAGAACAAGAGGCTCATAAAAGATGCTGCTCTAAAAAATACAAAGAGTATGGTAAAGAAAGGGCACTGCTATTTGTTCAGGAGAAGAAGAACAGAGAGACTCAACCGAAAAAAAAAAAAAGTCCTTTAATTTTAACACAACATTTGTGTTAATTAACCTGCGCAACTACTGCTGTAGGGGAGCAGAAGCGCAGAACTTAATGCAAATTAGAACAGACAGCAACATCCCATTTGTAAATGGCACTTTTGTCACTTCCATTTTGCTTTCGAGAAAGGGGTACGGTCAAAACAAACCTCCTTTTAATCACATCGTTAACAACGCAGGAACTGATCAACGTTTCAGAAGGCATTCCCAAGCCAAGAGCTGCTCTGTGCCACACTCACAGCCCGGCTGCTCCTCCCAGGCAAAGCCCTGCTGGCTGTGCTGCTGCTCAGAGCTCCGGGCAGCTGTGCTGTCCCTGCATCTGTCCTGCCATGCAGAGTGAGCTGCTGCACACAGGGATGGAGCGCAGTGGGGAAATGCAGCAGTGCATTCCATGGTAACTTCATAAAGCCTTCCCTCATACGGCACCTAAGGATGGGGATGCTGCCAAGCCACTGCATGCTGCAACTTAACACAAACTTTCAGGCAGACCTGCTCCTGTCCCCTACCATTGTACCAGCTGAAAAACACAGGGGAAAAAATTTCTGTTTATCGTTGGGACGCTCACCAAGTGCACAGTCAGCCTTTTAGATCCCTATCATCAGCACTTCTTCGCCCATCACTCTTCTCCACCCGCTTTCAGGCAGGGAATGAAAAGGATAAATTGCTTTTTTTTTTTTTTTCCCGTGAGCAGATTGTAACCCCACCTGCAATTAGCAGAGGTATGCAGGTGCAGCCCCCAGCTCAGCACTGGGAGGTGAGGGCATTACAAGCTGCGTTGGCACCCCGTGCTGCAGAACCATGGCTGCAGCTCCCAGCCCTGCCACGGCCATCCAACTTCAGCTTTGTGAAACCCTTCCTGTGCAAAGCTGGTACCACTCAGCCCTTCCCTCTGCCCCGATAAAAGCAGAGAGTGCTGCTAAGATCTGCTATCCCAAATGCTAGGCATGCAATTATGGATGGATGTGGCAAACCTGTGTGAGTGGCTCCTAGCACTGCTGCAACCCACAGCCCAGTAACTCCGGAGCAAGGGTAAGCTGATTAGCTCTGGGGAAGGATGATGGCAGAACTCCTCAGCTAAGCTTGTTAGCTGCCACACGGAGTTGGCGTACCTTGGAAGCTTTGCAAAGTGATTAGCTTGGGGTGGGAGCAGGCAGAGGAGCTGCTGCAGCAGCTCAGTAACCCGGAGCAGCTGATGTGTGCAGAGCAGTGCCCAAGGCTGGCAGTGTGGGGATGGGCTCTGCCTCTGCTGGGGTACAGTGAAGGGACACCCCTGTTCTGTGGCACAGCCCACCTGCAGCCCACAGAGCCCAGGCTGTGGGTGCAGCCAGGCCTGCAGCTTTCGTACACAATAGGATCAAGCCTCCATGGTCTGCAAGTCCCTCCTAAATCCCCAAGCGAGCTGGGAACTGTAGCAGGAAGTCCCAGGCAGTCTGTCCCTTTACCAGATCAGGACAAGTGCCACCAGCTCTCCCAGCAACTCCCCTCAACTGGTTTAATTTCAAATGCACATCAGAAGAGGATAATTCAAAACAATGTAAAACAACCTTTTTCCATCCCCCTTCAGTCTTCACAGCAATGTTCCACTATTTCTCTGGAGTGCAACTGAAAAGGGAAAAGCTGCACTTAAACTTTGCACTGATTTCCCAGTGCCCAGCTGCAAAAGTTCATTGTGACTGCGCGGAGATGCCTTACGCATTCATTATGTCTGTTCGGCTAATCTGCTTTTACACACCACTGAAACAGATGCAGAAACTTCTCCAGCATTGAGAGCATCCCTTCCTTTCCGACAAGATTTGCAGGACTTGATTTGATGAGAAACTTCTCTTCAATTTCCATATCCCGGAGTAAAGGTACGAGATGGGAACCTTTGTTTTCATTTCAAAGCAAAGAAACTTCACAGCCACGGAAAACATGATGCGAGTATAACCGACAGCTCACAACCAGATGGCAAATAAAATTATCTCAAAGCATATTGTTATTTTTACATTGCATCTGCAATTTTCAACACTTGAATTTGGCAATAACGCCATCCCTCGTTTTATGTAGGTTAAAAGTGAGATGCAGCTGTTCGTTCCCTCCAAAGTCAAGTATTTACCCCCCAGGTAGGATCTATTTATGGGGATTTATTATTTATAGTCATTTGGAAACAGAAGGTTTATATGAAAAGAGCTGGCACAGCCTCCACTACAATAGCATCGGCTCTCTGCTCCCACCAGACCTCCTAATTTGGTAACTCTTTGGTAAAGATGACCTGGAACATTGGGACCTGTGATATTAAAATTTCTTTGAGCAAGCCCTCTACTTCCCCAGCTGCTTTTTTGCTGCTTGTAGCAATAAATCTTCCAGTCATGCAGCCAGGTACCAGGACGCTTATTACTTTTATTATACAGGCTACTACAGCTTTGGGAAGTATTAATAATCCATCAGAAGCGATGCTGACACCAGTCTCTAGATAGGCACAGCATATGTGTGACATGGATGGGGATGAGCACAGCCGGATGGGAGAGAAATGTCACCCACAGATGTAATCTCCCTTCATCCCAAGAATTTACTTGCCCTACCTCCCATTCTTTAAGAGACACAACAGGCACACAGTCAGACTTCTGAAGCTGGATAGCAAAGCAGCAGCAGGAGCAAGGAAAACAGTTTGTTTCTACAACCCAATACTCATCAGCCAACCCCCCCCTCTGTGTCCTATTAGCTGCTCCCACCAAAGCAAACAGGGTCATTCTTATTCCCAAGCTTGGCTGCACAAAGATCCCTTAGATAAAATATATATATATAAATAAAAATCAGAAATACCACACACACAGAAGAGTTTAGAGAGCTCCTCCTCCCTGGTTTTGGACTGATGACAAAATCCATCTCAGTGAATTTATGGCTGCACATTCCACCTGAAAGAGCCTTTTGGGAGTGGTCCACGCAGGCCCCTACACCTTTCCAGATGCTCTCCTGCAGAGCAAGTGACACAACTCTGGAAGTGATGGCCAGGCTGTCCCTGGTCCTCACTGCCAGGTTCCCACTGTGCCCCTCAGCCTTCCTCTCCTGCCAATTACAAACCAAATGAACCAACAGCCGCACCTGGAAACTCAGAACGCTGTGCCAACCAGCGCCGTCTGCTCTTATGCTGCCCCTCCAGGTGTGGCTTTAAGACCGTGAGCTCTCCAGGCACAGCATCCACCTCCGCTCATTTCTCACACGAGGGCCAGCAGTCGTGTCATTAATAACAGCAGCTAACCTTTGACCGCTAAAGAATTAGCAATCCCACCCACGAAGCCATGTCATATTTAGTGAGTTGTCAGAGCAGCAGCATCATTAAAGCACATAACTAATGTACATAAAACACCGCAAGAGACACGATCGATAGTTGGTTGGTGATTTATTCCCAAACGGATGGAAGCAAAAGGGCTCAGCAGTGAGGGCTGCAGTGTTCTCACACCACAACGGTTCTACCAAATGCTTTGTGTTTTCTGAAACCCAAATGACCCCCAAACAGCTGTGAGTTTGACTGGGATACCGCTGACCACGTTCTTACCCATGGCTCACGCCAGGGCTTCTCCTCTCTCATCCCAAATTCTTCCTCTAGATTTTCACAGAAACCAGTGCTTTTACAAGCACGCTCTCACTCGCTATCCTAATGATTTCTGTCTGGATTTGCAAGCTCTTTCATTCCTTCTCTTCTTGTTTCACATCAGAGAAACGTCAAGACTTTCGTTGCCCGGTGTTAGCTTTGTGTCTGTACTCAATGTTCTCGCTGCGCTCACCGGGACACGCAGGCTTTATAATTAGGGACAGGATTCATGCAGCACCAAGCACGCTCACAAGGATTTTCTTCAAAACCAAGAGGAATCTTTCCCACTCCATCCCAGCACCACGCTCCCTCCTGCCGCAGCTCTGCGGGCTAAAGACAACGGCTGAAGAAGAAAGCAATCTCTTTCCTCTCCCTGACCCAGCACATCCAGCTTGCTGCTCTCCACGGACACAAACCTATCAGCGAGGGCTGCAAGCTTCAGAGCTTTGTCCTGGTGTTGCATTAACCAATCTCTTTGTAGCCAAGCAGGGAGTGCAGCAGCCGCTCTCCCTGCAGAGCTCAGAGCCCTGCGAGGCTCCTGCCGAAGGACCCGGTTGGTCCCTGCTGCACAGTGGCACTGACCCAAGGCACGCTCCCTGCACGGCTCACGCCTCGGGAAGGC